ATGTTGTTTATTGAATAAAAAAGGCATGTCAGTAAAGCATATGTCCGGCCCTTAATGTGATTCCAATTTCCCAGAGTGGCCCTTTGTGAAAATGAGTTTGACACCCCTGCCTTAGTTGATGCATTAATTAAGGTATTGTTCCTGCATTAAGTCATGCATGAGATACTATTAATCCTTATACATTACTGATAGTTCATGAAGTACTTCATGCATGACTTAATGCTTTTTCATGCTTTAAGTCATGCATGAATTCATGATGATTCATGTACCCTTACCGTAAAGTGTTACCAGTTTTTTTTATTTCCGAGAGCTTCACAAAAATGCAAGGGCTGCAAGTTTATGTAGTGTACCTATAAGTGAATTTCCACTTTAACTTATAATATGTAGCTTTAAGTGACAAAAAACAAGTTCTGGTATGAGTTATGGGCCTTTGTGGAATATTCTGCTCATGCACAAGAAATGGCAAAAAAATGTTTAAATGAAAAATATAATAATGTAATAACATAACAACAAAGTGAACGTGAGAGACTTAAGAGACGGGTAGGCCACCTTGCTGTTTCGCGCTTTTTTATTATTACATCCACCCCTGAACAGCTCCCTACCTACCGAGTAAGCAGTTTACTGAAAACATTCAGTCTTCTCAAGTGATCAAAAACCGTGTGACATTTTGTTCAGCTTATTCTCTCTTGTTGTGGGTGTGCACCTACTGTGTGAATGTGTGTCCTGGAAGTGGGTGATACATGCCTTCTGTTGCTCTCCTCCTCTATCTGTTGACAAGTTCTCTTAACTGTGTTGTATTTCCAGCGTGGGTATTAAAAAATGAGTAATTTGGCGAGCTCTCTGAAATCTCCTCAGACTGAGTTGGAGGCTGACAATGACAGGATGCCATCTTCTGTTTGTGTGGGATAGTTCCTCTTTAAAACAAACACACAGGATTATGTTGTCCTGTGCTCCTGAATTAGTTTTCCACACTTATTCAGTATTCTCTTTCTCTTTTTCACTCGGTGTTTGTTCTAATTCACCCCGCAGGGTTTCTGAGCACAGGGGACCAGTCTGCTAAGGGGAACTATGGCTTGTTGGACCAGATCCAGGCCCTGCGCTGGCTCAATGAAAACATTGGCCACTTCGGAGGGGACCCAGAGAGAATCACCATCTTTGGCTCGGGAGCCGGGGCCGCCTGTGTGAACCTCCTCATCCTCTCCCACCACTCCGAAGGTAAGGCTCTTTTTCCTCTGTCATTGTCACATTAGCAGTCATATACCCTGCTAGAAAAGGGATTAACATTTCAGAGCAGTGTGGGTAGTGTATTTCTTCAAGGAGCTTGTTAGTAATTTTAATGAATACCCTATAATACATATATATATGTCTATGTTATTCCCCAAAGTGAAGGGATGCAATCTTCAGAGATGAGGCGCACACTATATACAATGATATTTTGTTCAATAAACATGCAGAATTGCACACATTGAGTCATTTTAAAGCAAATCAGATTGCCAATCTGGACCGTGATGGCAGATGGAGGAAAACATTAGGATATTTGCCATAAATCATTACTCACCTAGGGATACAAGCCCTGTAATAGTCCCAAACAACGTCATTCCACGAGGCTCTAGAATCTCTGTTCACTGTCCGTCTCCATTCAAACTAATCCTGTCTAGCTAAGGCATAAGGAGTCCATACGTGTATATACATATATTACGTACTTTTATATCATTTACTTGGACTTTCAATGACGACCATTATAACCACTTCCTATATGTATTATTAGATATATAGTCAGCATAATATTTTGCATCATTAGTGAATTTTATATCTTTACATGGCTTGAACTGCTGATCAACCTTATTTCTTGTCTTTTCCAGCATTTTAAATGTAGACTGGCACTTGAGAGCAGACACCTCTAACAGGCAATGGTGCATTTTCATGCTCATATTTTATGTATACATTTTTTTACAGTAAAAAAAACAAAAAAGGAAAGGTCTTCAAGCCTCTAACCTGGAAACCATTGCAGTACTTATTACGGACCCTACTATACTTTTGACTGATCTTTGTAGGACCCACCAAATGTTTGATCCTTAATTCTCTGAAGGTGAACGGCACTTTATACTTTACCTAATACTCAGAGTGTGTTATTGGTGAACTGCTCACCTTCCATCTGACAAACTCACCTTGAACAAGAAAAAAAATGTGCCTGTACATTTTAATTGGATTCTCCATTTGTGCATGGTAAGTGTGTGCACGTGAATGCAAATCTTTCCGTCTATCTGAAGTTTGAAAACATCTTGTTTTACTTAATATGCATAATAATTTGCTAAGTTTTGCTTCTTTTGTTTATCATGGAAAATGTGTTTTGCTCATGTGAGCTTGGAATGGGGAGTTGCCTTTTGTCTTTGTTTGTTAAGGTAATTAGTTATTATATAACTAGTTATAGTTAACTTTATATTCTTAAACACACTTTATTCTGGTTTCATTTCATAATTTAACACACAACCTTCAGTAGCACAGAGAAAGTGAAAACAGCACGCCTGTGTACTGAAACAAGAATCAGTTTTTAATCTAATCACGGGAACCCTCCAGATTTACAGCCCTAATGTGAAAACTTTGTGTCATATTGAAATGTGAAGCTTGTATATCCTCGTTATCATTATGGGTTGTTATGCATAGATATGTCTTCCACTCCATTTTGAAGACTTGCTGAAAAAGTTGGTGTGTAAAGATTTTTTAAAGATGCTGTGTGTGTGTGTGTGTGTGTGTGTGTGTGTGTGTGTGTGTGTGTGTGTGTGTGTGTGTGTGTGTGTGTGTGTCTGTGCAGAGGAGAGATGAGATGAGGGGTAGAGCTAGAGCTGCAGCTGAGAGGCTTCTTAATTGATTTCACAGGGAGAGGAGCGGGGGTGGGGCACATGCAGAATATGGGGGGGCTTAATTATTAATGACAGAATCTGCAGATAAAACAGAGAGACAGAAAGCCACTTTACATAACAGTGCAGCGGTGCAACAGTGCGAGCAGTTTTCTTTCTCTCACTGTCTCTCTTTTGCGCTTTATGCAACACGCGGCCATCAAACCGCTGCTGTGTTCCGAGCGTTCTCCATCTTTCCTCCCGCTGTCTCTCGCTGTCTCTCGCTGTCTCTCGCTGTGTGTAATGGAAGCGCTCCGTTGTCCTAATGCTCACAAAGATTTTCCATGGCTATAAAAAGCAACAGAACATCTTCTTCATCTTGTCTCCTATGTAATACTCTACAAATGCTCCTCCTTCAACATATGCATTATTAAAATCACTCACACTGGAAGGCCTTGAAGGCCCCATCGGCTGCTAGCAGAAGTATGTCAGAGGGGGAAAATTAACCCAGAGAGGGGAAGTGATTGTATGTTTGCTATTGATCCTATTTGTGTGTGTAGGCCTGTTCCAGAGGGCCATCGCTCAGAGTGGCTCGGCCATCTCCAGCTGGGCGGTCAACTACCGACCCATGATGTACACCAAGATCCTGGCCAAGAAGGTGGGCTGCACCCTGGGAGACATGGCTGAGCTGGTGGACTGCCTGAGGAAGAAGAGTTTCCGGGAGCTGGTGGACCAAGACATCCAGCCGGCCCGCTACCACATCGCCTTCGGACCCGTGGTGGACGGGGACGTGGTGCCCGATGACCCTGAGATCCTCATGCAGCAGGTCAGGGGTCATTGCACTGTCCGTCGGGATAACTACAATAAACAATATTAATGTCATTTTAAGACCAATGTATGCCACTGATACACTTATAATAGATTCATAATGCAGGTACCGGTACACCCTTTTTAAAGAGCAATGTACTTCTGATTCTTGAAATGTTCAGACATTGGAATTGGAAAACGAAAATAAGATATATTCAAATAATTGTAATATATAAAGAACCATGCAACCAAAACAATAAATTAAATGGACTTTTGGGCTCTGTGCAAAGTCCAAGTATTATCAAGTAAGGGAAAACCCAGCAGTTTATTTTAGTATCAGATTTGCCAAAATGATAGAGACAAATGTTGTTAATCATTCATTAATTATTCGTTTGGTCTAAAAAGTGTCAGAAAATGAAAAATATCCGTCCCAGTTTGTTAACTTCATAAGGAGACGTCTTTAAATGACATGTTTTGTCAGTCCAAACCCCAAAGATATAAATTTGTATAAAAAGCAGAAAAAATGCATATTTGTTTATGAAAACCTTTTTCCTCTCAAGGGCCATTTAAAAATGTTCAACATGCTCTTCCCGGGGCATGCTCCCCCGGGAAGAGCATCAATCTGGTGCACTTTGTGAGCAACATTAGGAGATCTATGGATACATCTCTCAACACCCATATGAAACAGAAATGTAAGCAGATTTTATTTTTCTTTATGGATATTTTACAAATCACTCCCCTTTCAAACTGTATTCTTGTTTATTAATAACAACTTTTTTTTACTGTCATAGTATTTTATACCCGTTTACTTTATTCTCTTATTTTTTTATAACTATAATGATCATATAAAGATGTGCCTTTACCTGACTGGTTGGAGAAAAAGCTTCTTATCTTCGTTAGCATAGCTAGCTAACCAGAATAACAACAAAGTTATTGACTGTATGATCAGTATGACAGATGAACAGATCGCCACTGGGCTTACTACTAAAGACACAGCCACGCAAAAACTGCGGCATGTGTACGGCTCCTTATGGATACTGCAATTTTTGGAAGTGCCGGAGTGGGGTTCTGGTGCTCTCCGTCACGAACTGCACCCCTATCAGACGAGACATATGCCACGTGATGACGTTAGGCTCGTGTTGTGTTCAAGGACCCTGACCTTGGCTAGGAAAAACAGGCACTCGCCTGTTTAATTTTTTAGCGGTCTAGATTTCTCTAATTTTTTTCTTTTTTGCGAGTGTTTATAAATTACCTCGAGGGCCGTACCAAATGGTCTCGCGGGCCGTATACGGCCCGGGGCCGGAGGTTCCCCACCCCTGCTTTATGATGACTGATTATGATGGTTACGGTTGGATGAACATTTTGGATCCTGTGAAATAGTTGATCTCAGAAAGCTGTTTGGTTCCATAGCAGTNCAGATCTATATGAAGAACACATGAACATCATTAATAACTCAGAAGTCATGGGCCCGCGGGCCTTGAGTTTGACACATGTGAACTAAGGTATCTCAATCATCATGACTTCTGAGTTATTAATGATGTTCATGTGTTCTTCATATAGATCTGCAGTTAAAGTGACAGGGCAAAAAACTGACCAGTTTCCAACAGCAATTCCAAGTGTTGTAATCATGAACTAAGCATTATTTTGTCATTAGTTCATCATGTTTGTGCCCCTTCAAATAAAGTGGTGACCTGTTCCATCATTTACACTGATAAATAACATATGATTAATGGCCTATGTGAAATCACCTTTATTAACCATTTGGTGCTCATGCATCAATCATCTTTGTGATCCCTCAAATAAAGTCAGCCCTTATGTCTATTTAGGCTTCATGTATTTGGCAATATTACAAATAAAAATTAGATCATAATTTTGGACTTAAAGGTGGGGTAGGTAAGTTTGAGAAACCGGCTCGAGATACACTTTTTGTTATATTCCAAGACTGCCAAGGCACAC